AAAAGAAAGATTGTGTTTATTGAAACTTAACATTCAATAAATTCAAAATCTATGGGGTATCTTTAATTTCAACAGGAATGATAGAAACAAACATTTAAAAAAATTAATAAACACAAGTAAAAAATGAAGTAATCAAGACACTCTTAAAACGTATTTTATTTGTGAAATTTCTACCGCTAATCAAAAAATTTTCCCTGATGCATATTTATTGCAAACAAAATATTTTTAATCATAAAATTTTGGTATTTTTACTATCAATAAAAATATTATTTGATTTGTTAAGCAAATAATATATAATTATACGTTACCAAGTTGTAATATTTATTAAAAAAAATATATATTTTCATTCATAAAATTTAAAATAAATTTTTCGCATTTCCACATGTTAATTATATTGATGCAAAATTGAAGTATTATTTTCTGACAATGTAATTTTTAACAAACATTTTTACTGAGAAAATTCCCTTGTAATATTCTCAGTAAAAATGTTTGTTGCAAATTTCATTTATTTGTCCCAATTTTTTAATATGGAATTAAATAAATAAAACGTTTTACATTAAATAGAATTCTAATAGTGTATAAAAAATGCAAAAGTTTAAGGTAACATTTCTTTAGTACTGACAATATCCTAGGAATTAATGAGAATTTTCATAGAGCATAAAGAAACTTTATAGAGTTTTCAGAAACTTTAAAAAGTAGTTCTTTTTTTTTAATTAATGATTTAAACTTGTAAAATTTTAATAATGTTATTTAAACCTTCTTAGTAGTAAAATAAAATAAAACGTTTTTTGAAGTAATTAATACAGCTGGTAAATTTATTGAAAACAGTTGTTAATTTATTGAAAAATAACTTAAAAAACTAATCCTTTTCTCTCCCACGTTATGAAAATACTATATTTGATTTTGACATAATTAATGAATAAAAAATTTTAAGATAATCGATTGAACTCCTTGTGTCTCAAATTGAACAATAGAAAGAAAAAAATTAATTCTGAATAGGTATTATGAATAAAAATAATTACCAGGACAAAATTTCCTAAAAATATTTAAATTTCATAAAAGAAAAAGAAAATAAATAAAAGCAGCTGCTCTTTATTTTTTTATCAAAAATGTTTAGCGCTGACATCTACTTAGTTGGAAAAATAAATTTCTGCTGAATCTTAAATAAACTTTTTAATTGCTTGTAATTAAATTTTTATTAAGATATCCTAAATAAAAGTTTATAAAACCTGAAGCAGAATGTTTTAGGATATAAAACGTTTCGTTTGATGACTCTATTTTTTTAATAATAAAAGAAACCCTCCTTAATGTTCAAAATTAATTTCAAAACCTTGCTTTCAGACTTAGTTACAAAGAATGAAAATTATTCATTTCATCAGCGAAAGTTAAGTAAACTTATTTTACCATCATAGAAGTAGCAATTTTAAAAAATAATGATTTGAAAAAAATTTAACAAATTAAAAAATTTCATAAAAAATGGGGTAATAGTCTAAAAATTTCTCCCTCAAAACCTTTCTTTTTTTTAAATAAAGCCTAGTGCTGCCATCTATATTTAAAAAATTTATTGAAACTTTGCTCCCCTGACTTTGAAACAATTTGTGAATTAAAATTAGCTCTTTTTATTACCTACTCAGACTAACTCAAGTTTAAACAGTTAATTAACTTCCTTTCAAGACACTCTAGCACAATGAATTCCGGAGACTTTTCCCTTGTAGATAGTCTGGCACCATCCAACAGTTGATGAATCAATGAGATTGGTCAATAACAAATACTATATATCTATATATATTTGTTTCAAGAGAAAAAAATTTAGGAATATGAAAAAAGCAATAAATTTCACTTATATTTTTATAGCTAACTAGTTATTTTAATACCTATTTTATGCGATAGGTATATAGAAAATAAATAATTTATATTTTTATTGAGCATAGATTACATATTCAAAAGTGAATTGCTCAAAATAAAACAGCTTAATAATTAATTTAGTAAGATTAATTAATAATTAAGATTAATTTAATAATTAATTTACCATGATTTATTAACAATCGATTTACTTTCTTAAATTATAATTTTAATAGTAATTTTAACTTACATACAGTAAATAAAAATTCATTATAATATATTTTATATTTAACATAAAGATTTGTGTTTACAAAAACATTTGTGTGATTATAACCTATTTAACACAAAGATTTAATGGTCCTTTTGTTTAAATAAAAATTAATTAAAATTTATTGGAAATAACAGTACCACTGGGTAACATGGTACTCTTAATAAATAATAGGAACAGAAACTTACTACAACAGAACTGAGTATCTAAAGAGATGAGGAAACAGAAATATCATTAAAAAAAAAAAAAAAAAAAAAAAAAAAAAAAAAAAAAAANAAAAAAAAAAAAAAAAAAAAAAAAAAAAAAAACATTTCAAGTGAGAAAAATAATAGAATAAAAAACAACAAATAATATATTGCTTTTAATAAAATAATACAAACACTATTTAAAAATATAATTGGGAACAAAGTTACAAAACTATCATTTAACATGGCATAAATTCAATTGAAAACCATTTACACTATTTTGAGTTTTTAAAAACAAAAATACTTAGTAAATATAATATAACAAAGCTACAATCTTGTTATGTTTTATATAATCGAATATCCAACTAAAATTCTAAACTTTCAACAGAAGCGCTAAAAATATAAAATAAAGATCCTTTAACGTACACTCTTCACACTTATATAAATTTGAAAATGACTTTATAAAGTATATTTTTATGTTCACAAAAAGGCAATACAAACTAAATAATAAAAACAAATCAGTAAATATAAAGGAAATACAAACTAGGCAATAAAAACAAACTAGTAAATATAAAGGCAATACAAACTAAGTAGTATAATCAAACTAGTAAATATAATGTAACAAAAGCTGGAGAGTGCAAACACTCCACTCACGCATACTGGAAGAACATTCAACATAAATTAACATCTAATTAAATGCATGCAACATAAAAAAGATTATAAACATTTAAAACATTAGAGCATTAAAAACATTAGAACATAGAAAAAGGTATAAAAAATATCAAAAACATAATATACGTAACACAGATAAAACATCTTGAATTTTCTATGAATGAAAAAAAGAATGACAGAACTACCTACTCTTATACTAGGTGGTCCTTGGCATTATCAATGATCAAAAAAATCGTGAAATATTGATTTCTTTCATTATTGAGAAATAAAAGTGTATATTGAACCCTCAACCGGGAATCGGAATCTCTTGTATGTATTGAAAACCTTTGTAAATTTCTTTTTAAAGGTTTCAATAGATCCCTTAATCATTTCTTTCTTGTTTGAAAACAATTTTGACCTTTTTCTTGAAATGACGTAATAGGCAGTTTATTTTGGAGAATAAACACTTGATATTCACATTCTTCTTGATTTTAACTTTGGTTCTTCCTGATTTCATATTTAATTTTCTCGGAGTATGTTATTTAGATAAAATGACTGCTCGTAAGCAGCATAGGCTTAAAACTTCGGAAATTTTGAAGGAAGTGGATTGTTTAGATTACTAATGAATTTTGTCAAAACATCCAAGTATTTTTGAATAAATATGTGCTATAATTTAGAGTATTCACCTTATAATGACATTAGGCTAAAACGTTTTCATTTTTTGCACAAAAGGGGTCGTTATATCGAGTTTCAAATTCAGTAGTGTATATGTTAGCGAGTGATTTGTTAATTTAATGGTAAAAGTAAAATTGTATAAGGATATTCTATCAGTCGTTCCTATAGTTATAGAATAAAATTTTACTATATTACTGAAAATATTAAAGACATTACAGTTATTTTAATTCATTAATTCATTGATTTTTTTTCAATTGCAGTTGGTCCGTTTTTAAAGTTATGTCTTTAGTTTAGAAATTAATATACTATTATTCATAAACTGTTTAAAAAAATACTTCTAATATTTGATATTTTAAAAAAAAGTCTTTCACTCGGGATGGAAGAAACCTATTTTTTTCAGGATGATTTTTTTACTGTGATAGAAATATGCAAACTCTGAAAATAGAAGAATTTCATTTCCTTTTCTTAAAAAAAAAAAAGGAGGCTTTTATTTATGTTTGTGGTGTATTATGAAATCTTATGTCTATGAAAATTATGAAAAAGAAATATATTTTTATAGATGATTGACTTCTTACAAGTTAAGGAAAGATTTCCACATCGTGATATACAGCAGACTAATCGCCATGTCTTAACAGCTTTCATGTGGCAGCCTACAAGAAACTTAAAAAAACATCTGAAGAATGGAAAGCAACCAACTAGAAAGGTATAACTCATAGCCAAACAGCTACATTTTTTTTTTTAATTGCAAGTTTAAAATCTATTTTGCATCTTGGCAATTGTAGTTGACACGGCACATCACGATACGGAAACATCCCCTTCAAAAATTAAAGCATATATAACAGGATTACAGAATGATTCCAAAATACAGTTAACTCTTTCTAATGTGGATCTGGAAAGAACAAATGTTTCTCCTTTACAAAACAGCATTGTGAGAACATTTTATTAAAATACATACAATCTTCGCTCCGCCCCTCCAAAAAAATATTTATAGTTATTTGAAAAGAATATTGGTTGGAAACGAGTATACTTTTTGTTACTAATGTAATTACACCATCTTACTATTTATTCAATACAAATACAAAAGAAGTTCTATTTAATAAACAATTTCAACAAGTTGAGTTTAAGCAGATCAACTTTTAAAATAATAATCATAGGGTGAGTGTAACATTTAATTTATAATCCCTTCAGGAGCAATTCATTATTCTTACACCAGACTGATATCACTTGCTGCTTTGCTTAATGAAAAATTATTAAAATTAAAAAATTTTCAAAAGGTTACTCTGAATTTATGTTAAAAGGACAATAAATCGGAAGATGTTTCCTGGAAATGAAACCTAATATAAAAACACATTTAGTGTTTTTATATACTACATACTATGCTATTGATATTGAGGAACTTTTGTAAGCTTCATTCTATTTAGATCTACTACATCTGCAATACCTGAAACAGATCCTTCATCAGAATACTGCCATATTGTCCAATCGTACCAACCTGCTGGTAGCTCATCTGGTGGTGGTTCCCATGCACGATATCTAGCAATCCATAATGGACATTGCTTAACTATATCAGGAGTAACATCTACATACTGATCCCAGTAACTTTTTGTGGTGTATATACAAGGCGTTAAATTATAAGTATCCATGAGGTATTGTACACATTCCTGTACTACTTCCTTTACTGACTCACCATCTTTTGGCGTTGCTTCGATATCAAGTGCAATGACGCAATTCCTCCATCTGCCTGTGCTATCGGCAGCATTAAGTTGTCCTATCAAGTTAACCATTTGGGCTTGAGATGTACCTTTCTCAAACCTAACAAAGTGATAAGCACCTGGAGTGAAACCAGTTGAACACATATTTTTCCAATTTTCTATAAATGTAGGGTCTTGGAAATTTGTGCTTTCGGATGCTTTGGCAATAATAAACTGTTTACCACTCACATTAGGCGTAAGCTGTGACCAATTTATATCACCATTATAATGGGATATATCTAGACCTTCTATGTAATTATTTTGTAATTCCATTATTTTTTTCTTTTAAATTTAAATATAAGCTAAATAAATGTATATAGAGGTATATATAAGCTAAATAACAAACTACTTGTGCTTAAACGCTAGTAATTTTCTTAAATCATACAACCAATTTTGCTCAAATCGATTGCTTTGACTTATTCAATTTCAACAACATTCAAAACAACAATACTTTAATCAGCGGAACTAATTCAAGAAGAAAGCTCAGTAGTGAAATCATTTAATAAAGAAAATAATTCAATCGGTTTTCTTCCTAAACTACATTCTCATTCATTTATAGAATCAAAATTGATATGCGATTAACTTAATCTCACAATTTATAAAATTTTTGGTAAACTGAAACTTTCATTTTGTTCCGATCCGAAACCGAAATTTATTCAATATCTCTTCTTTCTACTCAAGCTTGTAACCTCAGTTCTTGGCAAACAAAGATACTTTACGGCAAACTCATTTGAGGAAAATTCTGATTCCCCTGTCGTGGTTGCCGGGAGAAAAGTGTTGCTCCAAGCAGACTCCTCAATTGGCGATCGCAATACTCGAATACGCCATCTGGGGAGAGACCAGTTTCATCCCTTTGGTCCGTCTCCCTTCCCTCTTTTCCTCTTTTCAGTTGTATAGGAATGTATGTTGTATAGTAATGTCCCTCTTTTCCTCCTTTCAGTTGTATAGGAATGTATGTTGTATAGTAATGTTATACTACGATAAACGTATTTCCTTCTTATATGACTCCCCACACGCTAATGGGGAAAGCATGTGAAGTGTTGCCATAGGTAGAGAGTTCTGCTTTTCGCCACCTGCAGCCCATTTCGATCACCAATTCTGCTTTTAACATGTTTGTTTGTTTGTTTGTAGTTCATTTACGTCACACTAGAGCTGCACAATGGGCTATTGGTGACGGCCTGGGAAACATCCCTGAGGATGACCCGAAGACATGCTATCACAATTTTGATCCTCTGCAGAGGGGATGGCACCCCTGCTTCGGTAGCCCGACGATCTGCACGAGAAGTCGAGCACTTTACGGTAGAACAGTTTAACGAGAACCAATACCGCACACCCTCTGTCCCTACGTAGACTGATCCAAGTGTTCACCCACCCGCACACTGACAGCAGCGCTATTAACATGTAATGTCTATGGCGAGCATGCCATACTTTGAATCGACTTTTCTCGTTCAAAATCAGAATGATCAATTCAAAAAAAAAAAAAGATACTATTAATTTTTCAATCTCCAAAACTGTGAGTCAATTTTTTTTAAATATTTACTGCTATTTTTAATGTTGCCTTTGAAACTTAAGTCACTTTCTACCTTTGAGTCACCTACCAGTGACTAATTTATCCATAGATGGTCTTCCTCTCTCCCTTAGAAATACATTTTACTGTGTTCCCCTCTTTTTGGAAGTCTTTTTCTCTCATTGCCTTTTTGAAGAACTGATATGGATACCTTTTTAAAAACCGATATTTTTATTTATAAGCTCTTAGTTTATTATGAAAGTTATATATGCACTCGTTGTTAATTCGTTCCTATAAATTTTATATATTTAGAAGTTATATTTGTCTTGTTTTTTCCTCTGTGAGGGGAATTTATTTTTTAAATATATCATTCCCTTTTTTTCAGTTTTTCCTTTTCTTGTTTTCAAAAAATATTCAAGAATTACAAGAATCCAGTTTCTGAATAAAATGAGTTTAATTAAATCGCGACAATGACGTAAAGATCTTCCAATACACTATAAAGCATCACAAAACTACCATTTTCCTTTCCTATTTTCTAAAAAAATATATCGTATATTCATTTGTAGACTTAAAGACACACATTTATATTAAATGTAAACATAAAGTGACGCAATTTTTTCATTCCATGAATAGTTTTAACTTACTCTAATGGCTGGGACAGTTTGTTTTTTCACTGTAAAGGAAAAAATAGCTAGTACAAGGGAATACACATCACTAAATCAAGGCGAAGCACCTGGCCGTGTTTTTAGCGCTCTAAAATAAATACACAGGTGTATAAAAGTATTATGAAAATTTTTTTTAACTTGGAAAACGAAGAAGAATAAGGAAATATACGCATTTAGGGTGTTAAATAATAGAATCCCTTATTGAATATTTAAAAAAATTCCTAATAACAATGAAGTAAAAGAACATTAGTAGACAAAACTAATATTTAAATGTGAAAAATACGAATGCTATCAAAATATAATGAATTGAATGACTGCTCTGGAATTCAAGACTGAAAATATTAAAACCAGTTTGATTGCCAGAGGAAACAAAAAGAATGCGAGCTGTGATTATTATAAACACCACGAAATTTGATCATGATAAATTAAAAAAAGTTGTAATATTTAGAGTTAAACTTCTCTTTGTTAACTCAGGCAATTAAACTGGTTCTGATGTTTTCAGTCCTGATTTCTTAGTTGGGATTCACTAGATTTTGAAACTATTAGTCTCTTTTATTATTGCTTGAACATTTATCTATAATTCCTAATGTATACAGTTTTTAAAACTTCTATTTCGCAAAGTTCTAAAAATATATTAGTAATTATGGAATCTTATGTATTTAATAACGAGAAATTTTTTCGAATTCATATTACAAGTGTGTA